TTAAATACCATCGATCCTGTTGCGAACCTCTTCTCTAGTTTAATGTTGTAATGGAAACTTATATTATATTCCTCCAATAAAAGTTTTTTTTTCAAAGTCAACTGAAAGCTCGAAAAATACCAAAATCGTACATTAATAAATGTTATTCAAAGCTGAGTTAAAATTGTACAAGAACTTCGATATGTAACAGCCAATGTGACGCAATAATTATTCAACAGCGATCAAGCATTCGCACGCATTCGAAAGCATTTTAATGACGGCATGATCTCCGTCGAACGAACACGGGCGACGTGTCCCGAAGGTGGTCGAAGATGAAGGAGAATTCAAATGGTTAATACGTCTCGACCAATAGGATAGCGATGAGTGTCTTTTACTTCTCGGCCGTGCAGCTACGTAAGAAAACCAGGTAGAGCGCTCGTTGACGGGGGTGTTCGTTCTCGTCAGTCAACAGTGAATGTTGTGGTTACCTCTGCGAAGTTCTGCGTTGTCGCCGCTGAATTTATTTTGGAACAAGTTCCTCTACCTGAGTAATTTACAATATTAAAGAAAATATTTCTTTTGGTAAGTTGTTCATGTTGACACATGAAGTTCTTGGGGATGAAATATTTTAAAAAATGTAGTAGAATTTTTGCTTTTAATTAAAATATTTTCTGTTGACATTTCGTATTTTCTATGAAATTTACGTCTATATGACCAATTTTTGGATTGATGGAAGCGTGTGTTTAAAAAAGGTTTGAAATGTTCGCTAAGAAATAATTTTTATCTTCGTGACATATGTCAACTAGGGATGCTATTACATACGAAACGTACGGAATTGGTTGGAAATCTTTCTCGTAATGTGATTTAGGGAGTATTACAAAGATCAGAACAGATTATGTTAATTGTGCATCTAATGTGTTGTATTTGAAGATTCAAAGAGATCATGACAGCTACTTCCAATTTTCATTTAATTTTATTATTTTAATTTTTTGTTACCTATAATCCCCCGTAATCTAATTTCATTTGGGTTTTGAAGTTTCTTAGTAAGATAAGGATACTGCAAGTTGGTCTTTAATTTCTGTGCACACAATATGGAAGCCAAGGAAATTTGAAGAATATATTAATTTTAATGCAGACATTTAAATTTTTTCATTTGATGTGGCTAAGCAGTTAATAAAGGCTTATTCATAATTGTACTTAACATTTTGAAATGAGCATTATCAGTTACCTGCAAATCACTTTCATTTTTTCCCTAGCCTTTGTATTTTATATTTAATATATTGAAGTTCTATCAGTTGAGCAAACATAATTTTTTTTTAAATTTTAACTTGGTATTTCAACCCTTTAATTGTGTTTTTATCAAGTTTAAGTTATATCATTTTATATTTAATTTATTATCTACGTTCTGAATGATATCTAACCTGCTTTGCCTGTTCTAGATTTGGTAGGCTGTTGTATTCTTTATTATGACTCCTAGAAAATCTTTATTTCAGAGAATAATATCCGTGAATGGGTGTTTTTACAATGTTTTGTTTGCAGATTTCAGTGTTTGGCAATATAAAGGTTTCTTAATGCATAGTACTTTTCATTGGGTAGCATAACTTATATTACCTCTGTTAATTTTTAGCGTGTGGACATTATGAAGCAAGCAACAATTGTTATATGGCTTTTGCTCCTTCTTGCATGCATCTTAGATGCTAAGGAGGATGATTATTATAAGTTACTGGGTGTTTCTCGCAATGCATCTGAACGAGAAATTAAGAAGGCCTTTAGAAAACTTGCTGTTAAATATCATCCAGATAAAAATAAAGAAAAGGGAGCTGAAGAGAAATTTCAAGAGTTAGCTCAAGGTAAGATTTCTTTCACTTTTCAAAGAAAACTAGTAAATACATTTTTCAACTTGTGTACATGTGTACATTCATTTGAAAATTACAAGAATGTACAGTTCCTATACCACCAGAGTATTGGAGTGTTATACAATACTCAATCTGTGGTAATTTAGCAGAAAATGGGTTTTCATTGTTGCTTTCCTTGTCTCTTATCAGTAACGATTGGTGAGTGGAGTAAAGTTAAACTGACAGCAAGATACAGCTGATAGAAGTAATAGCTGTGAAAACTTGCTATGCTGCCAAAATTTTCTAGCAGTCAATCTTTATATTTTTTGCTTTTTTATCCATCATGGTTTGAAAGGAATCATAACATAAGGCTGTTTTGATGTTAGGCTGTTAGACTGGGCTGAAGCTTAGTATGTGCTACAACTTAAAGAAGTCATTTAAAGTGGCACTTCGTCAGTTTAAACGACTTCATAAGTACTATGAACTTCATTCATACTACTTATGATATTGTGATATTTTAATTCATAAGGTGTTGTAAAGATGATGACTAGTATTTTACTTCAGAAAATCTTAGAAATATTGATACATTTTACTTTTTGTACTGTTTAAAGTAGATTTTGTAATTAAAGGAAAATTTGACAAAGTGAATAATTCATTGACTTCTTCTTTGGCTTTTTCAAGAAAAGTTTGGAATTTAACTACACTCTATTCAATTGTATTAAAAGTTTTAGAAAATAGCATTCAGGCATGTTTAAAATCTCTTGTGACAGTTTGAATAATATGCAATTCAAGCTCAAATTATGGATGATGTATGACAGTCTTTTAACAGTTTTTGTTTATTTATTAATTATTTTTAAAGTCTTTATTCTTTATTTGTTTTTTACGTTCCTTATGAACAGTATTGTATACAACTTGCTTGTGATCATTAATGACATTGTTTGCATTTACAATATTTTAAATATAGTATTCAATGGAAATTTAAAGTTCATTTTTGAAGGTATATTTGATTGCTATTAAGGCAAAAGTGACCAATTAAAGAACATATGTTTTTACATATCTTGGCAACTACCCTTTTATTCTATTATCTATTAATTTATTATTGTATCACACAGTGCCTGATACCCTCAACGATTAAATTCAATGCAAATTTATGAGAAAAGTAAAATAATATTGATTTTAACAATATCTAATGTGTTAATTACCAGTTGTACTGCACAATTCTAAAAGACTAATGCTTGTAACAAGTATTGTATCTCAGCTAAGACCTGGTTAGGTGTCTGGACATAAATTTACCTTCTTTATCTGTGCAAGTTTTCTTGAGCTCTGTGTGATATACAGTTATTCAAATACTTTTCACCATGTTTGCACAGCTGTAAGGCAATTCCTTCACATAGGGCCCTGAAAGTGATAATAGCAAAATGTTGCTGATTTTCCTTTCTATGTAGTGTTTTATGGTACAAGAACAGATACTTTCTTATCAGTTTCTGCCAAAAATGCTTGTTGCTACATGTATTCATAATTTAATTTAATGTGTATGTGACTTACGGAAGGGATCCCAGAGTACAAGAAAACATGAACAGATAGCACTTTTCCTCATAATACATCACACTATTTTTAACTTTTTTTTTGTCATGAAATAAATAAATAAAAGGCTTTGATGTACCATGATGTGTTAATAAATTTGTATAAACAAGTTCATTAAATACAATGTGCCATGCACAGTGGAAAAGTTTTAGAATGGTGTAAATCCTTATTTCATATGTAATGCAAAACACTTGGTGTACTTACTTTTTTCTTTCTTGCACAGCATATGAAGTTTTATCTGATCCTGAGAAACGAAAAAAGTATGATCAGTTTGGCAAGGCAGCATTTTCTCAAAATGGTGGAAGTGGCAGTGGAGGTGCCAACCCATTTCATTTTAATTTTGATGACTTATTTCGACATGCAAATGAAGAATTTGGTGGTCATACTTTTCATTTTCCTGGCTTTGATCACGGCCAATATAGACAGCAAGGTCACAATTTCTTCAATCTTGACGACTTCTATGAAGAGGTGTGTATTGCTATTTGAAATATTTTTCTTCTCGAGGGGTTAAAAGACATCTTACCATCTCTTTTATGAATGATTACTTATTCTGTGATGGGTCCAGTATGTATGGTGTTTGATAGGTGTTCAGAAATTTCATTTTTTACAGACTTTGATATCAGTAGGTTATAAAATTTGTCTTGCATAATTTCTTTTTAGGTTCTGTGATAATTTTCACAATTGTAAAATGATTTTCTTTTCCCTAAAAGAGTATAATCTCCCAGTGGTATTATAGTAATTAATGATATTTTGGTCATGCGGTCTAAGGCTGTTGTAATAGTCTCTGTCTGTTATACAAAGTTAGGTCTTTAAAAAAGTAACATCTTCTTGTAAAAGTGAGTAGTTTTTGTGTATTTTGGGCTTGAAATTTAAGATTTTTTTTTCCCCTTCAAAAACTGCTCTAAATTTTTTCTTTAACTTTTCTCCACATATGTATAAAGAAATAATGGTAAGAAATATGGTGCTAGTCCCATTTTCGTGCATTGCTCTTTTTTAAACTTTTAATTGCTAAAACATTTCAAAACTACAAATTTTAAGATACATTTTTGCGTCAGACAAAGTTGATTGTTCAAAATCAGCTATTTAAATAAATAAATAAAAATTCTATTGCCTGTATGGCTGTTTTCTTTTGTTGCCCAATAAAACAAACATCTTCTTAATTACTCGCTTCTTAATGCTAGAACTGAAACTACCATACGCTTATTACTATTATAGAAGTTTTCATCGCATGTCGTAACTGGATAGCCGAGGTGGTTAATTGGCGGTACAGGCCTCAGATTTTTGGAACACAAGTTCGCTGAGTTCGAGTCTTGGGCGGCAACTATTGTTTGTGACGATTCAGTGTTGTCACAGGAAATAATTGATAATTTTAAAAACTTTAGAATTGCTTCAAGTGATTTTCAATAATCACAACTACTATTAATCAAGATAAATAAACTGAAAGTGCCTGTATGTAATTTTTGAATTTCCAACTTTTAAACAATTTGGGTCGGAGATAATTATTTGTCACAATTCTGTTGCTGCAGAAAACTATTGAGAATTTCAGAAAGTTTATTGAAAATCATACGAAGCAATTCTATTTACATAGACAATTTATTAATATTCTAAATAAACTGGAAGCATCTGTATGTCATTTTTGAATTTTGAAACTTGTAAACAAGTTTACAACTCTCTTGTTCTATTTGTAAAGCATATGTTACATCAAATAAATTGTTGAATATAATATTGTGGATCATTTAGAAATACTGTGAGAAAGGATGTGCTTTGGCAACACCACTAGTTTAAAATAAAATAGTATCAATTTTCAGAAATATTTATAAAGGTTTCTTGACAATAACTTCCGTGTATTTTCTTTGAATTTTTTTTTACAAATAGAAAACCATGAATCATCTAGCATAAGCATTATTTTCATTGAATAAATTGTCAAAAATAATGGAAAGGAGTACAGGAAACCTCTCTTAAGCAATAAGATTCCAACAAGCATTGTATGTTAAGAGGTGGCCACTTAAGCAAGGTTATGAGGTTAAGGAAACTACACCTGATCTAATTGTATCATATAGAAAAATCGTTCAGTTCCATGAAAAACCAACCATTAATGGAGGTGACTGCTTAATAGAGGTGGCCGTTGGACTAGGTTTTACTGTAATTAAACTTTCCTCTTCTGAATAAAGAAAGTTTGCAAGAAGAGAATTATACATTCCTTTTTCCACATAAGGTACTCAAACGTTAACATTTTTAAAACCTAAAAATTACTTAAAAAAATGCCTTACTATAAGGTACTAGTTTTATATATACATTTAGGCTTTAGATTCAAGTAAGACTTAAGCGGAAAATTTGCTTTGTGAAGTCAATGCTGAAAATATTTTTTACTATGAAGTATGGTTTGAATTTTTGAAGTTTCACGTGTTTCAATTAATTTTTATTGAATCTATCATCTGGATAGGGAGCAATGTGTAAATACTAGTTATTAATTAATTGGTATATATTATTTGGATAGTATCTATAAGAAAGGGCTTCATTTTAATTCCCAGTTCTAATTTTAATCTTCAAGACAAGTTGATATTTGAAACATTAAATTGTATGGACTTAGAGGATATAACACATGTATACTTTTGTAGGATGATGGGTTCGCAAATCATGGATATGAAATGCCTCATGGGTTTGGAGATGGCAGCTCGTTTTTTGGAACTCATTTTGGCCATTCACATGCTCATGCCCATGCACAAGCTCAAACTCATTCTTATGGAAATACCCATGAGCATCGATCTCAACAATCAAGAGGTCGCTCATGCCACACTGTGACGCAACGTGTAGGAAACATGGTTACTACCTACACTCAATGCTCATAAGGTGATCGTTTTCTTCTTTTACCACGGAAAATTTTTTATTTATTGATGAGTGTGTGTGTTTGTGTATATGTGTGTGTGCTGAAGAAACATAGGTGTTTAGTTACCTTAAATTTTCTTCTATAATTCTGTTTTTAAGTTTTTTTTAAAAATATTTTGAATTTCAATGTTTATTTAGTTTCCTAGCTGGCTACTAAACCTGAACAATGAAAATTATGTGAAATGTGAAATTGTTGAGGTTGATCTGGGTTGTCAATTCTGGATGTCTAAAAGATGAATTTTTGTAAATCTGCTGATGTTGAATTTCCGATTATAATTTAATATGGTAGCAATTTCAATTTAGTTGATTTTGTATGCACTCGCCTGCAAAAGTTGTCTTTTACTGAATATTGTTTGTAAAATGGATTCTTTTTGCGTGAGCTGAATGGTAATTTTTCAGTTACTTTTTACCACTGTTGATCTGCTATGTTTGACCTTGTATGGTTAATTGCTTTCCTGGCTAATATTTACTTCTCAGTCTTAATAAATAAATATCCATGATAAGTTATGTAAATTTAAATCAAAAATTCCACAAAATTCGACATGACCTTAATATTGGCTTGCAAAAGTTTTTCTCAAATTTGAAGGATATTATAGTTTGTGTCGAGAAACTAAGCCTCTAGGAAATTTGGCTCCCTGCTTTGCCCCTTGCCTTGTGGCATAGCTGTGGAGGGGTGGGGGATTGCAGGATGGTGGATGATGACAGATGAGGGTCAATACGAGCACCATAATCTGTCACGGACAAGTTATAACGTGAAATGGCACTCACAGATATGAGATTTAACCAAATGGACTTCTAGGTCAGCAACGTGGCAAGTGCAGTCTAGATCCAGGTTCAAACCCCAATTGGGGTGATTAAAGTTTGAACAGGTTGATTGAGATTTAATTTCAAATAATTACAAGTAATGATGATAATTTTCATTGTAAATTTTACATGTTAAGAATGTAATATTCAAGTGGAAACAATGACTATTAGTGCTTAGTGATTCATTTTAAGAACAAATGGATTTCAGTGTTTGGCCATAATGTGGAAAGAAAGGAGCATTGGCTAGACATGCTATGTGGCACTCCCTTGGTATCAGCTCAAGGCTTACAATTATACAATGCAATCTATAGTATCAAAAATGTCACCTACTAAGTCAGAAGTAATTGACAATTGGTTGTTGATAATTATTTGTAAAATTTTTGTTACTGTAATCAATGAAGAGAAAGCTAGGAAACTAGAAATCCCTTATTTTGTGCCACAACTACTGGGTTTGAAAGTGTGTTACATTGGTACAAGGGAATATTTTGTCGCAAGTGTGTATTACTTGAATTGAGGAATCCTGGTGCTAGGCTCTTGCCTTATCCTTGCAACTATTTGTATTTAAAATATATTTCAAGGTTCAGTTAGCTAAAACTGAAGTGTTCAGTCATTTAATGAAAGTTTAACTTTTATGGTACACGGTAATGCAAAGGTAAAACTTTTTTTGTTTGGATTTGTATGAATGTATTACACATGTTAATGTATTGTATATATTAAATACACAATACCAGTGGCAATTCTAACAGATATTCTCAGGGACAAACTTGAGTATGCATTGAATAAAATGAAATTTTATATCCCTGGCCATTGTAGTTATGAAGAGAGAGAAAATTTCTCAATAAGTAAGGAAAACAGATTTTTAATTGTATCTGAGTAATGGTGTTCAAGGGAAAATTTGGCAGTGTTAAAACGATTTTCTCAAAAGAATAATTCACTCCTAGATAACCTTGGTATCAGTGTTTGCATTCCAAAATTGTACCTTATATGTGATTAGTTGTCATATTTCATTGTAGAGATATTGAAAATTGTAAATTTGAAATATTGTATATAATATTTTCTAAGTACAGATGTTGGAAAAGTGTAGCAACATGACCAACATTTTACACTGGAATGTAAATAAGTGTTGATGTGGATTTTTAGTGCAATAATTTGTTAACAAGTTTGCACTGAATTTATGGTTGACAAATATTGTTCACTAAGTATTATGCAAGTTGATACAGTTTCAAGTTTATAGACTGTTTGTATATAATGTAATGGGAAAATGTAAATCAAACTGTGATAAGTTCTGTTGTAATTATGATGCTCTTCTATCTGTAAATTTATTGTAAATACAAATACAAGTATTATTGGTTGGCAGTATGCTTTGATGTTTTTACATACTATTTATTTGTAATTAGCAAGCCTTTAATGCTTGCTCAATATTCAATCTGTGCTCTTCTTATTTTACTGTTAACCTGATTTCAGGTTGTTGACCAAACTTAGTATTTATTACTATAGAATGTGTAAAATGTTATGTATTTTTTGAGTTAAAAATTTCATAAATAATTTGTAAATAATCCCTTCAATTGGTTATCTGAAGACTTTCTTTATCCCAAGTGAGGAATTCAATAATTTGTCATGTTCCTAAAGAGATTCCACAATTTGTAAATACTGATTCTTGTGTACTGATCTTTTATCTTTTTAGAGCATGTTTAAACAATGTTCAATCCTGTACATAGTTTGCATCTAATTAAAGATAAGGAAATTAGTTAAATATTTCAATATTTAGATACTTCAGTGCCACTATAAAATATGCTTCATATTGTATTAGAATATATTATAAGTTTTGTTGTTGTTGTTTTGTCTCTGATATACTTGCTAAGTGTATCAGCTAATTCTGAACATTTCTTTGATATTCTTTTGATGATGTGGCCAATTTTCCAGTTTAGTTTTTTATGTGGAAAAGTGAAATTATTTGCCTATGTGATAAGTTTTGCAGATGGTTTACTTTTGTGGTGCTATGAAAATTTTAAAATATGAAATAGTGAGTTTTTCGTATGTCATTTTTCAGTCAATTTTTGCAATAAATTGGTCGGACGCGACCAAAAGGATTAAATTCAAAGAATATTAATGTTTAATTGCTGATACTTTTAGAATGCTTTAGAAAAGAAAGTATTTGCTTTCCACATTTTGAAAGATTTTTGATATGTAAAGTCCTCTGCAAAACTTTTAATTCTGAACTGTAATAGATTGTTTATGTGAATAAAAAAAATTGATGCTGGACTTATTTGAATTTCTTCCCTATTTTGTTGAGTTATGCATTGTCTAAATATATACGAACTAAAACCTTGCATCATTTGTAACTGCTCCACAGTATTATACTACCAGAAAACTTGTTTTCGACCTGCACATTTTTTTCCCTCACCAAGCCTCGAATTCAAGTCATCTGATTTAACTCTCAGTGCACCTTCTCTCTACACCGAGCAGCTGTTCTGATGCACATTCTTCTGTGAGACATTGGTTAATTTTGTTTTAAAATAAAGGAAAATTGATGACTTTATGTTCTTTGCTTTCAAGGCCAGGATTTTGATTTTATTCGATTTGAGACCTCTTTCTAGATTTATTACCTTAATTTTGTGCCAAATGATCAATAAATGTTTTGTGCAGTCTACATGCGTTTAAAAAAATTTCCTTTATACTAAAAAATGTTCTGCATGAAAAACTCATTTTTATAACCCTATTTTTTAAATGTAAGCTTTTTTGTAGTATTTTGAATTTAAACAACTATGTTTTATTTTATAACGTCTTAACATATATATATTTAGTCAAAATCAAAAGAGGTTTCAAACTCGCAAAGCCATTCGTTGAGATCGATCGGGAATATCAATCGAATCGAATATCAATTTTGGAGAAAACTGTATGAACTTAGTCACTATCATTGACCATGGATTTTCGTTTAACCGTCATCGACTTTTCGGTATCAATGACCCGCTAAACATGCATTATGACTACACAATGTGTTAGAGGAAGTAATTTACTGTTAATTTGTATATAGGAACAATATTTATTTACTTTTGCGTTACCAGGACCCGGCGATTCTTCGTTTTCCAGCGCACGTTTACAATTTTCTTTTTGCGAAGGGCAAGAAATTAAAAAGAGTAGGGGACTAACTTCATCCATGACATACTCCTGGATTTAATGACAATGTTTTGCTCATTGGTTTGTTTCATATTTATATAACTGCCTGCGTTCCATTATACTATAATGACATGCTTGCTATTATTAAGGTATTTTCTAGTCTAATATTTGTTATAGCTTTCTTCTTATGACCCTATCGAAAGCCTTTTCAATGTCTGTGAAGAGAAGATTGGTTTCAAAATTATATTCTCTTCTCTTTCCAATTACTTGCCTCAGAATAATGATATTGTCATAGCACGAGCGGCCTTGTCGGAATCCGTGTTGTTTATTTAATAGGAGTCCTTGACTAATGGTTTTTAATCTATTGTTCAGAATTCTGGCATATACCTTCTAACCGATATTCAGAAAATACAAAAAATAATAATAAATAATAACAAATTAATGGCAAATGAAAAGAAAACGGTTTCAATGCAGTTTTCCACTTCTAATAAACAATTCTATACTTCATTGAAAATGAACGACGTGCCATTAACTGATGTTAAGCTTACAAAATGTCTAGGTCTCTCAATTCAGTCAGACCCCAAATGCTACGTCCGTTTAAATGAATTGAACACAAAATTAAGTTCATTATGTTACGCGTTCAGAATTCTTTAAAATCCAGTCAACCTTCATACTGTTTGTTGTGTATATTTCGCGAATGTTACCTCCCGCCAGAGATATGTCATAAAATTCCGGGGAAATTCATCTTGTAGCTTTCCGACTTTTATTTTATAAAGAAGAATTGTACGAATAATAAGCAAATCCCACGCACGTAATTCTTTCAAGCCTTTCTTTATTTATATAGGAAGTTTACTATTAGTTGTATCTTGATTTACGAATCAGTGGTTTTTGTCAAAAATGACTTACGGGCAGGAATATTTTCAGCAAACGCAAATTCAATATATGTACATTTATTTATTTATTTAAACACTTTGCCATATGACTTCAAACGATGAAATTCGATAGTAACGTTTATCTCAAGTAAAATCTGTTCTGTTGCATAACTGTTTCTATACAATTAGAGACTATACCAATCATTGAAAGGAAAACAACATTAATTTTAACTATGATATTTAATGTATTATTTATCATGTGGGCTGTCTAATTGTAAATAACATGTAACAAGTACTGTACCGCAGCTTCTGGGTCAATGACCCCCCATCTCGATCAGATTTTTCGTCCAGTTTCCCTGATCCTTTGAGCAAATGCTAAGATGGCGCATTGTTTTGCTTGTAGACATAAATGTAACTTCCTTATATGTGAACGTCTTCTAGAATTCAGTGGGAAATATAGTTATTCAAATATCGTTTTCCCTTTTGACGCGGTAGGAAGTATAATTCCTTCCCGAAGGCATGATGAGGAATAAGAGCCCAAATTTATAGGTGATTTATTTTGAAAATAGATTTTGTGACATCGGAGCTAATATTTTGTTAACAATCCTGGCAAAAAACGCTCATTTCTTTCTGTATCCCAAATTCAACTAGTATATGGATTACGGTTGGGATAACAGAATTATGAAAACGTATACAGAATTAACTTCTCCCCATAGCATGTCACACACAGGTTTAAATGTTTTTGACGTAAAGTAAATAAATAAATAGACATATGATTCCTTGATATTTTCCAGCATTTCTTCGATTTCCATTCTAAAAACGTGGGCAAGGTCTGCAATAATCGAGAATTGAGGAATCATTCAGAAATTGAGGGAAAGCTGTACTATAAAAGACTATACTTCAGTAGTTGTACATTAACCTCGTACATTCCTAGTACTTTTCTATTCTTTATTTTTGTCAGAGCCGTTCCCATTTCGTTCATATTGAGCTTACATCTACCTTTCAGTATCTTAAGTTTGGTATAAAGCTCCTCAATTGGACTATACCACAGCTCTAAATAATGTTGTACCCACTAATCTTTTTTAATTTATTTATTCTGAGCGTATCTCTATCTTGACTATTCAAGTTACGAAGAAGCTTAGAAGCAAAGTTTTGTTCGTAGACGTCTTGTTCCCATCTGTTTATTAAGTTTTCCCAGCTTTCCGTATAAGAATTTCTGACAAGAATTTTGTCAGTATTACGTTTTCTTTTATACATGTCCCAAATTTCTTGTTTTTTCCTGTAGCAATTTCTTACTGGCAGGTTTCTTTTCTGTTAACGCTCATTGTATGCTCCAAATTCTGAGTTCCATCCTTCTTCTAGAGTTCTTTTGTTTACAGTAGGCTTCATTTCCAAAGTTGTTTAAGTCGAGTTAATGTTAATCCATTCTTCTATACCTCCCGATGTGAGAGTGATAGCTACCAGACCATTTAGTCTAATTTGGTATAGTATCCGTCGACCTAGCTCATCGCGGAGTTTAACTTTAAATGTGGGGTGTATCCACATTAGGTTACATATTTTGACTCCTCTTCCATGGATCCAACAGGGAAACTAAAGACAATTAAAAACTAATCCGAACTGAACATCTTGTACATACATCCATTGAGGTGACAAAAGTAATGGGGTACAACCTAATATCGAGTCGGACATCCTTTTGCCAGGTGAAGTACATCAATTCGACTTAACATGGACTCAAGAAGTCGTTGGAAGTCCCCTACACAAATATTGAGCCATGATCATTCAATAGATGTCCATAATTTCGAAAGTGTTACCGATGCTGGATTTTGTGCATGAACTGACCTTTAGATTATGTCCCATAAAAGTTCGATATGATTCAGGTCGGACGATCTGGGTGACCAAATCATTTGTTCAAATTGTCCAGAATGTTCTTTGAACAGATCGCGAACAATTGTTGCCCGGTGACATGGCACATTGTCATCAATGAAAATACCCTCGTTGTTTGGGAACATGAAGCCCATGAACGGTTACAAATGGTCTCCGAGTAGCTCCAATGCCAGTTCACAATCAGTTCAGTTGGACCAGTCCATTACATGTAAAAACAGCCCAAACCGCTACGAAGCCACCACCAGCTTGCACAGTTCCTTACTGACAAATTGAGCCCATGGCTTCGTGGGGTCTGCGCCACAGCCTACCATCAGCTCTTACCTACTGAAATCGGGACCAACTTGAGCAAGCTATGGTTTCCAATCAATATGGTCTCGAGCCCTGGAGGCGGTGCAGGCGATGTGCTGTTAGCAAAGGTATTCGAGTGGATCTTCTTGTGCCACAGTTCATTAAAGCCAAATTTCGCCGCACTGTCCAAACGGATATGTTTGTCGTACGTCCCATATAGATTTCTGCGGTTATTTCATGCAGCGTTGCTTTCATGTTAGCACTGACAACTTTACTTAAACAGCGCTGCTATCGTCATTAAGGCTAAATGCACCGAAAAATACTTGTAGGAAAATTCAATAGATCGCAGCACTACACGGGGGATTTACTTTACTGATAACGTCTGAACAATGGTCCGATTTTCGATCTGTAAACGGCATTTGACGCTTTTTTTAAAATAGAATTCACGCTACGATGCCTTTTTCCAAAAATCTAGCAAAAATTCAAATTTGAAGTTAGTTCTCGAACTTCCGAGAAAAAATTAAAAAATGTGGGCTTATAGCGCGATGGCACATGCTTGCTGAATCCAACGCCGTGACAATCATGCAAATCGATGAATAGAACGTCGTAAAGTGAATTTACGAAGACTCGTCCCCCCCTCCCTTCTGCGCCTTGCGTACCCCGATGTATGTGGGGCCTCCGTCGGCGCGACGGCACGGCCAGGCCAGGTCAGCGGCGTGCGGCCAGCCCCGGCGGAGCAGGCGGGACTTGCGGGATACGTGAGCCAGACAGTCGGTTTATGCTTTCGTCACTTTGCATCTCAATCTTTTCCAACAGATAGTAATAGTAGTACATAACTATCTGTTTAACATATTTTCCGTCTTCCTTTGAATACCATATTAAAATTGTTTGAGGACATTACGCAAAATATCGATTCCTATTTGGGAACTGGTTTTTAAACAATTGAACTATTTCTGTAAAATCACATTAGTCCATCTTCTCACATCTATTTTAGATAATATTTTACTTTCTAAGTTATTCCGTTTTCATTCCACCTTACTCTAAGATCTTCCGTTGTCACATACCGGAAAGATGAGCGGAGATACGCAGCAAGCTCTTTTATCCT